AATGCTTTTTGAAATCAACAAAGCCAACAAACACTTTTTTTTTAATTTTCTGTGCGTTTCATTATTATTGATGTATTTATCTATAATGTTTTTAGGATAAATAAGTTGTCTGTGTTCTACAACCTGGTCTGAAACCAGCCTGGCATGGGTTTAAGATGTTATTGCACTCAACATAGTTATGAAGTCTATTATTGAGTACAGATGTAAACAGCTTAGCCAGACAACTTGAGAGGGCTATCCCTCTATAATTATTCGGAATATTTTTATCATCCGATTTGTGCAATGGTTTAATGTAACTTGTACGCCAACTATCTGGAAATTGTTTAAGTGTTATAATGGTATTAAAAAGTTTCATAATTGGTTTAACTAGGGCAGATTGCCCATATATAATCATTTCATTGGTGAAACATTATATGTGGATTTTGACCAATACAAATTATCAGATATGACATGTCCAGTACTTAGTGTGATTGGCTATGTGCAGATTGAATATGTGGAGGCCACGCCTTATAGACTTTATACTTCTTTGTAATTGGTTAAGGTTTTCAAAGTGAATAAAGGAGTTTTAGTTGGTCTTGGCGAGAACACCACAAGAGACGCAGTCTTGGGTCAGCCTTGAGATAGTCTTGGGGACTTAACCCCAGGGCGCTGTGTCTTATAGAGTACTCGATTGACCGACTAAAGACGAGAGTTGAAACATATTTCGTTGTGTGCGTCTATTTGACTGTAAAGCTTAAGTGACGTTCCCGGTCCAGTACCTCAAGCAAACGAGATATAGAGACAGACGATATTCCCCCCTGACACGTGTTGGAGAACCCCAGAGGAGAAGAATTTCCCTGTGATAGTACTATCAATGTGTGATGCCATTTGACCTCGTTTACAATGTAAACATTATTGCTGACCCCGTGTAGGTCTCATGCCACTAATCAACCAATGACCGTTCGTGACCCTCAATTTAAATGCTTTGCAAGAACCAATGAAATTTTTTTAATATCTTTTTTCTCAGGTGCTCCCTGTTTGAGAGCGTGGTCACATGTGGTCTTTCGTTTATTTCTTAGCGGCTGTGTACCTGTAGTAGGGTTGTTTTGGTACACCTCTCAGCTTTAGTTGCATATACATTTTGCAATAGTAATAAATATCTTGAGACCAGTGTAGGGTTTTGGGTTGGAAAGAACAAGGCAACAAACGTTTTGTATGTGACGGTCACCTGGGTAACTCAGGTTAAAGCGTGGTAGTTGCCGTGCTGCGCATGTTCGACATTTGTGTTGATAAACATTGATTTTCCCACAATCCAATGCGCTCTTCAAATGGAAATCACAAGTATGAGGTTTGACCTGGGCGCGACTTGCACTGATTACCGCCGATGACCTTCCTTCGATACCTTCCAATCACATGAAAATTACCTAATTAAAGCTTGGAAACGTGTCAGTTTGTACTCGTTGATCTGTGCAACAGTCAAAGTCGCTATCTTTGTTTATATGAGACGACTACCGCGCTTTAAGTGTTTGACTCTTTGAGTGCGCCCTCCAGTGTTACAATTTGAGTAAAGCATAAAGTGTATTAGTCTGTCATTTATAAGTAAACATTGATTGATACATGCTGCTTGTTTTCACTGTGTTGTATGCCTTGCATGGTAGCAAAGTCATCTGTGGCGGTAGACCTGTTAGCCCTAGGATTACTATTTGAGCTCCTCCCATTTATAGTGCCTTTTAGCCGGTAGTTTACACTTATAACGCCACTGACCTGTATCATTGCGATTTTGACCAATACAAATTATCAGACCGCTTGTTGTGTTGAGTCGTGTTGCTTGTGTAAGGTTCTATTTTAATATTATTTTCTATTTATTATCTTTTTGTATTCCATATGTGTAAAACGCAAACGATGGGTTGAATATTTATATCACTTGTACAGTTGATTGTGTAATACTTTCTAATTAATCTGTGGATCTTAATTAGCTAATTTACACACTGATTAGCTATTATAATAATCATGTTTAGTGTGTATCCTGTTTGTGTAGATTTATATCTAACAAACGTTTGAAATGGGGCTGTGCGTATTAATTAGCTAATTTGCATACACTCACATAATCACTGATAATTGTTTTGTATGAACATGTGCATTTATTTTATTTATCCATTTTCATAATTATTTGGTTTCAGCATCTTTTTTAAACATTTTTACAACAGTTGCTCAAATGGATTGACACATTGTACATGCTGACTGTTTTTAATATGCATACTAATTACCTTTTTCAATTGTGTTTTGTTTAGGTTAAAACTAGTTGAATTCATGATGCTTGTGTAGATAACCATCTGATAATCTGCAGTTAAAGACAGTGATGTGCACAAATTCAGCTTGGGACTAAAAAGCTGGAGCTGGCAGATAAACTCTGTTCGAGGTAGACAAACAGACATTTCCCTCTTTCAATTATGATGATATGGGCAAGGTAAAAATGAACAGTTTCATTTACTTAAAAAGTCTCCATTTTATGTATACTATAGTTTCTTTATTAAAATGTCTTCAATAGAAGAACATGTAAATCAATATTTGCATTGAATTTATGTGATCCACTACTTTTCATTCCAAATCAACACAATCTTACAGTCTGCAATTACAATTGCTAATACATATGGAAGAAATTAAACCCTGTATTTGCTAGAATTATTCATAATTATCATATACACTGATGATATTTTACTCAATGAATGTATAGTAATATCAATTAATAAATAAAGGTTCTTGCATGTAAAACCAGTACTTGCAATTTCAAAAAGTGGAAATGGATCGTAATTCCTGACGACAGTCACATGACCTGGAAGGTATTGTATCAGGCTACCCTTGTGTTTTTTTGTTTTTTTTATTAAAGAGCCCCTTATTATTTAATAATAATTTTAAATACAACCTTAAGCAGAACAACATTTTTTGACAGCCACTTCGTTTTGAATTATTGTAATGCTTCTCACTCGGTCAATTTTACCTCACAGTACTTGAGACCAGCAAACTAGTTGTGGAATGCCATGTGCTATGTACATTCACAATTTCCAATCCAAGGATCAAATTGTGGTGCATTGGTGGTATTTATCTTTTAGAATTTAAAGTTTTGAACTTGGTAACAACATGCGTGTCTGTTTTAAGTTTTCTTGAGCACTTTAGTTAATCAAAAACCTTGTCCATCTTCTTTGATTTAGCAATTCACCCATTCTAGGGGGTGCTGATATTTCTTTGTGACAAACTATGTCTTATGTGCTACAACAATACGCAGTGAAATCTTCAGTGAAAACTGCAAACAACCGCTTGAAAATCTTCTTTAAGACCACTTAACACATTTATGTAAAAAATACATCAATGTTTGAGTATATATGATCACGTGATTTTATTGATGGCAAATTTGTTCTATTGATTTGAGATTTGCCTTATTTTATCTTTTCAGTGAATTACTCACGACAGCAGAAAAATAATTCTGATCAGACAGGTGGCTTCACCACCATCTTGGATTATCAATAAAGGTAGCTAAAATATTTGATATTTCTTTCTCATGAATACTATAATCAATCAAATTAATATTGTGCGTCTAGAATGTATAGCTCTGGCATGTATGGGGCTTGTGTGGGGCATGAGTGTTTCATCAACTGAACGCAAACATCAGGACACCGGTCATGGAGCAATACAATTTCAAAATTTATATAGGATCATCAAGATATATACTAGTGCTAATTTAATGTAAAATACAGCATTTACAGTCTTCTAATTACCAAAATACATGTATATGTGGTTGCAAAGATTTATGAACAATGCTTTCTATTAATTAATGGAAAGTAAGGGGTCTACCAGTTTTATAAATACAAAAAAAAAAACAATCTATTTGGTCAGGTGTTAAAGAATTGGAGATCTATGGAGTAACATGGAAATCGAGGATCCCTCCCACATATCATTTGTGTGTGCTGAAATATTTGCAACCTGACATCATTTGCCCTCAAACAAAACAGTTAGAAACAGGGATATTTTGCAGTCCAGATTAAATGTTCCCACACTCACATTCATTTCATCCTTAATATTACTACACAAATACTGAATAACAAGCAATGAGGCATCTCTGTAGGTGTTACATTCTCTGTACATGTAATCTCTGTAGGTGTTACATTCCCTGTACATGTAATCTCTGTAGGTGTTACACTCCCTGTACATGTAATCTCTGTAGGTGTTACATTCCCTGTACATGTAATCTCTGTAGGTGTTACACTCCCTGTACATGTAATCACTGTAGGTGTTACACTCTGTACATGTAATCTCTGTTTGTGTTACACTCTGTACATGTAATCTCTGTAGGTGTTACACTTTCTGTACATGTAATCTCTGTAGGTGTTACACTCTCTGTACATGTAATCTCTGTGTTACACTCTGTACATGTAATTTCTGTAGGTGTTACACTTTCTGTACATGTAATCTCTGTAGGTGTTACACTTTCTGTACATGTAATCTCTGTAGGTGTTACACTTTCTGTACATGTAATCTCTGTAGGTGTTACACTTTCTGTACATGTAATCTCTGTAGGTGTTACATTCTCTGTACTTGTAATCTCTGTAGGTGTTACACTTTCTGTACATGTAATCTCTGTAGGTGTTACACTTTCTGTACATGTAATCTCTGTAGGTGTTACATTCTCTGTACTTGTAATCTCTGTAGGTGTTACATTCTCTGTACTTGTAATCTCTGTAGGTGTTACACTCTCTGTACATGTAATCTCTGTAGGTGTTACACTCTCTGTACATGTAATCTCTGTATGTGTTACACTCTCTGTACATGTAATCTCTGTATGTGTTACACTCTCTGTACATGTAATCTCTGTAGGTGTTACACTCTCTGTACATGTAATCTCTGTATGTGTTACATTCTCTGTACATGTAATCTCTGTATGTGTTACACTTTCTGTACATGTAATCTCTGTAGGTGTTACACTTTCTGTACATGTAATCTCTGTAGGTGTTACATTCTCTGTACTTGTAATCTCTGTAGGTGTTACACTCTCTGTACATGTAATATCTGTAGGTGTTACACTCCCTGTACATGTTATCTCTGTAGGTGTTACTCTCTCTGTACATGTAATCTCTGTTTGTGTTACACTCTCTGTACATGTAATCTCTGTAGGTGTAACACTCTCTGTACATGTAATCTCTGTAGGTGTAACATTCTCTGTACATGTAATCTCTGTAGGTGTTACACTCTCTGTACATGTAATCTCTGTAGGTGTTACACTCTCTGTACATGTAATCACTGTAGGTGTTACACTCCCTGTACATGTAATCTCTGTAGGTGTTAGACTCTCTGTACATGTAATCTCTGTAGGTGTTACACTCTCTGTACATGTAATCACTGTAGGTGTTACACTCTGTACATGTAATCACTGTAGGTGTTACACTCTCTGTACATGTAATCTCTGTTTGTGTTACACTCTCTGTACATGAAATCTCTGTTTGTGTTACACTCTCTGTACTTGTAATCTCTGTAGGTGTTACACTCGCTGTACATGTAATCTCTGTAGGTGTTACACTCTCTGTACAAGTAATCTCTGTGTTACACTCTCTGTACATGTAATCTCTGTTTGTGTTACACTCTCTGTACATGTAATCTCTGTAGGTGTAACATTCTCTGTACATGTAATCTCTGTTGGTGTCAAACTCAAACATGCGTACGTCATAAGCTCATTAACTCAATTAATATATTTGGTACACAATGGCCATGCTTGACTTATTGTTTATCTATTGTATCACGATTGTATGTCTGTTATTGGGGGGGGGATTTTTAAGTGAATGCCATGTAAAAACTTGCAATATTGTCTGATGCAACAAACAAAGCTAGTCTATTGACAAGAAATCTAGCAATAAACATGAATATGCAAATGACCATTCCTATATGTGTTGTATCCTACATTAAGAGTACGACACAGGTGTAAAAAACGAAAGCTTTTTATTTTAACCATATACGTAATACCTATACAAATGACATTATTATCCCAGTACTGGAATAATATTTTGTTTTAAAAAGGTATTTCAAATACAAAACAATTCTAAATTTGTCATTTTAATGTTATCCCTAATACATTAACTTGTAATTTGTGGAATCAATTTCTTAGTTTACGCTCGTATGAACGTCAAAGTACTGACTTGTTTTACACTCAACTATCAACTGATTTCACTACCTTTGATTATGCATAATTCATCTAAAATATAGTATATCGAATTCTGAACATTTTTAACTGACTTGCATTTATTCTGCCCAAAGTAATTATTCTAATCGAGTTAACAGATGCAATAGACTCGCTTGTTACCAATGTTGTTTCAACAGTAAGTCTTAGAAGAATCTGATTCTGGAAAAGAAACTAAAGGTTTAGTGTTTCCAAGGAAGAGAGTGCATGAACATTGTCTCATCAAAAGATAAAAAAACATTAATATATTTTTTAGATTTTCTAATCTCCAACTGCACCTTCTTGTTGTGATTGGGTGAGGTAAGATAACCTGCCTATAGTTATCATGAAACAGGAAATGCTATTTGCGACAATTGCAAGATTTTTATTTTGTGTTTGTTTTTCAGCCATTGTACAAATGGAATTACAATGGAACAATACTGTTTGTTCACAGAATGACTATTGATAAAACAAGTGATTTTGAAGTTATCAACATTCAAACTTCTGCATTATGAATACCATTTATTTACCTTACGAAAAACAAAATTGCTCAATTATGTGATTTTGAAGCCATCTTTAATTTCTAACATAAATTTCTATGATTTGGGGCATTTGTTACCTATGGGTATTTATACAATAAACTTGGTTTTGCCGTCATTTTGCCAAACTATACAGTGTTTTAACTTGTAGTAACTTTACAATGTTTGCTTGCAACGGCGGTTAATTGACAGCACTGCACAGCATCTAACTACCTATCACTTGACTTGAAATGCATACAATCCACATAGACATTATTCAATGTACATACAATGATTTATTTTTTTGAACCCCGCTGCTGCAACTTGCAACTTTATTTCTTCATTTCATTCTCTTTTTTGGTCGTATAAATTTTGTCAGTTTGTTTGAGTAAACTGGTGAACAAACGCTTTCTCCTGACATTAATACACCTGTGCCTTGATAGATTTTCAATGAATCCCATATTTTGTTGTATTCGCAGAATTGAGACAGCAACATGTTTTCAGCTTTAATTTCACCAATATATTAATATATAAATATAATGTAAATTTGGACCATACTCTTAGCTTCTAATCTAATGTTTACATCATTTTTAAGGTCATATCAATTTTGAATATTACAATTTTATTGAAAATGTGCGAAATAAGCTTAGCGCCATGTGAAGAAAAACAATTTAGAAGACTCGGGGTGGGGTGGGTCAGACTTTATCTCTGAAAAGAGACCTAAACTTGCAGCAATCGAACCACGCTTTATTTGTATCAACAAATATATATATATAAACAAAAAACTCAAACTGGCAGCGGGAACCGTTTATGACATTTCAAATGTTTTGATCTTTAATTCCGAATCCACACGGCTAAAGGGTCCAACATATATGAGCTCCTTAAACTATGTCACATCTTGATCTTAACAAATAAGTTAAGCACAATGCTTGATTCATGTCCTTTTTATTATAGATAATTGAATTGAATGTCAGAATAATTATGTATTTGACAATTTAACCAATAATCGTTACAGTGCATAATTACTGTTGTTATTGTTACTAGGATGTAATACTGTCTGTATATTATCAGCGAGGTGAATCAAAATAATATTTGCTTTGATATATATGAATAAAAACACGAATGGATTTAAATATCATGATTAATTTGTCTAACTATTGTTAATCGTCATATCTTGGAAATATGTTAACACATAATATATACACGCATAATGTTCACATACACAACAAGTCAGTTGAAAATTATTTACCAGTTATGCACTAAAACCCACCCAATCAAAACCAAATTCTAGTCATTTTTTCAGATTCGGTATTATAAAATTTATAAATATATGATTACAAAAATAGAAAGAAAAAAACATACACAATCGACCTTTCTTACTGCATAAAGAAATTAAATGATAAATACAGACGAAACACTTTATGCGACTCTGTATAAGGCGTAAATATTCACTTTTGATTGGTGCAGAACGCATC